CACACACACACACACACACACACCAGAGCCTGCATTCACCACCCACACCGACACCCATAACGCTTTAAAAACGAGCTGGGGATGAAGCTCCGTGGTAGAGTGCTTACCTAGTATGTGCAAGGCCCTGGGGGCAACCTCCACCACTAAGGAAGAGGAAAACGGAATAATCAGGAATATGGAAGAATGAATGAAGACTGTTTAAAGTGTGTGTGTTGGATATATTTGTATGTGTACACGTACATGCAGGTGTATGTATGTGTATATGGGTATCAAGGTCAGAAATCAACATTGGATGACTCCCTTAGTCACTATTTTTTTATTTTATTTTATTTTTATTTTTTTGAGACAGGGTTTCTCTGTGTAGCTTTGGAGTCTTTCCTGGAACTCACTCTTATAGCCCAGGCTAGCCTCGAACTCACAGAGATCCGCCTGCCTCTGCCTCCCAAGTGCTGGGATTAAAAGCGTGCACCACCACCGCCCGGCCACTTTATTTTTTTTGAGACAGGGTCCCTTACTGGTTTTGCTAAGCTGGCTGGCCAACAAACTCAAGGGGCCTGCCTATCCCCAGCCGCCTTCTGTGTTGGGATTACAGGTCAGAGCCGACATACCTACCTGGCTTTTTCTGCAGATGATGGGGCTCCTAACTCAGGTCCTCAGGTCTGTGCAGCATACTACTCACTGAGCAACCTCCTCAGCCTGGTGGAGATTTAAAAATAGCCATCGGGGTGGTGACACATGCCTTTGGTCCCGAAATTCAGGAGATGTGGCAGGAAGAAATGTGTAGGCCAGCCTGGTCTACATAGCAAGTTCCAGGACACCCAGAACTACATAGATCTTGTTACAAATAAACAAACAAACAAACAAACAAACAAATAAATAAAGCCATGGGGGGGAGGGGGGCTGGAGGAGATGCTGGGCAGTTTAGAGTACTTGCTCTTATGGATGATTAGAGTTGGATTCCCCGCATCCACATAAGAGCTCACAATCATCCTAAGTGAGTTTCAGGAGATTTGTTGCTGACCTCGGACCTCCACAGCCACCAGGCACTCAATGTGAAAAGATGCTAAGGGCTGAGATAGTTCGAGTATGTGTGTGTCCTGTAATCTCAGCACTGAGGGTGGAGAAAGGATCCTGGGGTTCACTGATCAGCTAGTCTAGCCAGTTGGTAAGCTCCAGGTTCAGTGAGAGGTCACAGAGGGGGGTCGGGGAGAGTGGATAGTGTAAAGATTCTAAACGGTGTTTAGGGTGAGAACGTGGAGACACATTTGGACAAGTGGCATCCCACTGATTGCCCGCCTTTCCTATCTGTCCCAGTAGGTGGGTTCTCATAGCAGCAACTGGACTTGCCCAAACAAAAGACGATGCCCCGCCCCCCCAACACACACACACACACACACACACACACACACACACACACACACACACACACACACACGGTCCTCAGCTGAGTAAGCAAACCAGCTGTCTCCTAACAGCTTCTAGAATTCCCCTTTCATGAGTTAATGTCATTTGCTACTAAAAAACAAACAAAACCCCAAATAAAACCCCTGAGGCCTCCGGCACTAAAGAGGCAGCTGCCTGCTGTCATCAAGCTGAAAGTTTTAATGCCCGTTTTCAGGAAAATGCTCCGAGGCCTCCACCTTGGCTTTCCTCTAGTGTGTGGGGGGGGGGGGGGTGGAGGTGGGGAAGGTCTCTAAGCAAAGAGGAGAGAAACAGCACAAGTCGGGGAAGAAACTGCAGCCTCCAGTTCAGCTGTGCCCCGGGACCCGTCTGTCCTGACCGCAGGCTCTCGGTGCTTGCCTTATTTATTAGTTGGGTTTTGCCTATTTATCTCTGTGTTGGGGTGGGTGCCAGGGCCTCGGGACATATGAGAGGTCAGAGGCACACTGTGGAACCTGCTCTCTCCTAAGTTTCAGGGATCAAATTCAGGTCCCCAGGCTTGCACAGCAGGTCCCATTCCCTGCTGAACAATCTGAGTGGCACTCGTTTTTTGGAGGCAAGGCTCTATGCGGCCCAGGCTGGGTATGAACTCTTGCTATATGGCTGAGGATGGTCTTAACGCCTGATCTCCTGCCTCCACCTCCTGAATACTGAGATCCCAGGCGTGTGCCACCACACCAATGTTTTCCTCTGGGCTTGAGGGCCCCAACAAGCTCCAGAAGCTAGAAAGTCCCCTGGGAGCACAGCTGGGTGGATGAAGATGGTCTTCCCTCCTCTCCCTGCACTGTCTGTGTCCGTCAGCGACAGTCCTTGTGCCCACATGCCTGTTTGCAAGGATGTGTGAGCCTTAGAAAGATCCAAACTATGGGGGTTGGGGTTTAGCTCAGTGGTAAAGCGCTTGCCTAACAAAGCGCAAGGCTCTAGGTTCCGTCCTCAGCTCTGGGGGGGGAAAAAGATCCAAATTAACAGCAGAGACAAACAGACCCTCTGTGTTCCTTTTCAGTATTTTACTCTCTCCCACAAATTACCTTAAGACAAGAGCTAGCACCTGCAGCTGTCTGTCCCCAGAAGCTCTTTTTTTGTGTCCCCAGAAGCTCTTTTTTTGTGTCCCCAGAAGCCCATGCTGCCCTCGGTGGGAGAACAGACTAAAACTTCACACTTCATTTCTTCTCTTTTTTTTCTTTTAGTTTTTCAAGACAGGATTTCTCTGTGTAACAGTCCTGGCTGTCCTGGAACTCTCTTTGTAGACCAAGGCTGGCCTCGAACTCACAGAGATCCTCCTGCCTCTGCCTCCCGAGAGCTGGGATTAAAGGCATGCGCCACCACTGCCTGGCCTGAAACCTCATTTCTTTTGATGGAAAGCACCATCCCCCATATTCACTGTCCTCTGGGACTCTAAGGTGGCCCAAGAGCTGATTGATGACTGGTGACTCTTTATTCCTGTGACTCTGGCATCTCAAGATAGATGGCAATTAGCAATCCTATTCAAAACAAAAACACTCCTAACCACCCATGTGCATCTGTCCCTAGGTCAGGTAGCTCTTCCCCAAGCTGAAGTTGACAGAGTGCTTGGCTGGCACACATGAAGCCCTGGGTTCAACCCCCATAAACAAGGCATAGGAAGTAAATGAAGGAAAACCAGTTCAAGGCAACCTTGGTTACATAGCCAATTTGAGGCCAGTTTGGGCTGCATTAGACCCTACCTAAAAAAAAAAAAAAAAAAAAAAAAAAAAAAAAAAAAAAAGGAAAAGAAAAAGTCCCAGTGGTTAAGAGCACCAGCTACTCTTTCAGAGGATCCAGGTTCAAGTCCACATACCCACATAGTGGTTCACTGCCAGCTGTAACTCCAGTTCCAGGGCATCTGACCCTCTTCTGGCCTCTGTGGGCTCCTGTGAGCACAAGGTGCATGTATACACTCAGGCCCATACACACAAAATAAACCTTTTTTGTTTTGTTTTTCAAGACAGGGTTTCTCTGTGTAGCCCTGGCTGTTCTGGAACTCACTCTGTAGACCAGGCTGGCTCTGGTCCAACCTCCTCTGCCTCCTGAGTGTTGGGACTAAAGGCATGTGCCAAAACGTGTGGCAAACAGCCCCAACATTTGTAAAACGTTTAAATAGGCCTGTTATACTCTGCCTTGTTAATGAATCTCTGGTGACCTCCAAACGTATACCAAGGCATGCATACACACATACACACAAAAACAAATAAATATGAAAAACATCCAATGAGTCTTTCGTTACTGGACACTAGTCAGGTAGGTGCATTGTGTTGGAAAGGAATGGCGGCCAGTTCACCTTTCTACCCCTATCCCAGCATGCACCACAGCTCCTTGGGCCCCAATGGTGATATCATGGCTGCCTCAGACTTTGCATAAATCCTCTCTTATTTCACCCCTCCGGTCTAGACCCCCACTGCATTCAATTCCCTTTCTGAAATACACACTGTGCTCACCCTTTGGAAGGAGGCAGAGGACGGGAGAATGCAACCACTAATTCAAACCAGAGAAGCCCAGGACACAGGACTTTTTCATACAGCCTGTCTGCAAGCCCCCTTCCCCAGCGAGGATTCTGACTTGGTTACTTGGCTCCCTGTTTCAAAGCCAGAGAGCTGTTCTTTTGACTCACTCCTGCATGGAAAAGACGAAACCTTTCTATGTGGTTTTGCAACCTCCTCTTATTCTTTTTAAGTAAAGAAATGTGGGGGTGGGCTGGCTAAGACAGCATGAAGGTGAGAAGCCTTCCAAGGTTCAGGCCAGCTCTGTTGGCCTGGGCTGCCTAGAGAAGGTCACCCACCATCCCTGGACAAGACCACACACAGCATCAGGTGTTCCCTTGCCCCAGGGAGTATAATGAATGTTTATTTGCTGTGCTCCTGCCATGGGAGGAGGAGGAGGGCCTGTGACTAAGATGAAGAGGTTCCTTGGTAGGAGTCAAAACAACTGATCACCACCACACCTCAAACGTCCCCACAGCCCCCACAGACAGCTAGGACAGAACTAGGTAGGCTTTGGAGGGAGCTGTCACAGTTGCCTGCCTGTAGTGGTCAGTGTGTTCCATTTCTCAAGGAGAATCTCTATTTTACAAGCAAACAGCTCTTATCGGTTTCCCAAACAAATGATCAGTCTGAAAAGACTGGAGAGGTGGAAATTTCTCTAATTGGTTAATGAAATGGCATGCGTCCACAGCACCATCTATTTCTCCCCGCATCCCACCCCCAGCAGTTAATGATGATCTCCCAAACTTCTGAAAGTTGGCTGACCCAAGAAGCAGGACACCAGGGACCGAAATGGAATAAAGGAGGGAGGAAGGAAAGATCGAAATTAAAGAAGAAAGGGAGTTAAAAGTAAGAAGAAGGCTAGGAAGGAAGGAGCAAGCGGATTCCTTCTCCAACCAGAGCCTAACTTTTCTTAAAATGCCCCCCTCCCCTGCCACCAGGAACCCGCGGGCTCTCGGGACTTGTCGCGGTGACCCGGGCCGCCTCTGGCCACGCACCGGGCCTCCCCCCCCCCGGCACCCCCCCCCCCGCAGTCTGTCGCCCCGGCTCCCGGCCGGCACTCACCCACCGCGGTGATGCGGAAGCCCCGGGGCGACCGCAGGGCTCGGCGCCGCCACGCATCCCGCAGCACCTGCACGCAGGGCTGGGGCGCTCGCACCAGCAGCACCCGGCGCTGCAGCCAGCCGAGGAAGGCCAGCCGCGACGCCGCGCGCGCCAGGCGTGCGTTCCAGAAGCAGCGCGCGTTGGCCCGGCGGAAGGCGCGGAACAGGGCGCGGCCGCCCGGCTCCCCCGCCGCCTGCCCGGCTTCCCGCGGGCTCAGCACCAGGGCCAGCGAGCCGGGCGCCAGCTGCACCCGCTGCGCCATACCGTCCGCCGGCGGGACCCGCGCTCCCTGCGCCCGCGCCCGCTGCCCCGGGAGCCCGCTGCGGGGGGCGGGGCCGGGGGCGGGGCCCGGCTTCCCAGGGCGTCGCTGTCACTCCCGGGTCCCCGCAGCAACCCGAAGAGCCCCGGACATCGCCCACCCGCAGGGGCGGAGAGGACCCAGGTCGCGCGTGGGAGGTGACCCGGGTTTGAGCCTCCGCTCCGCTCCTGATCTCTCAGGCCAGTTCTCCGGCTTCTCTGGTCTTAGATCCTCATCTCGCAGCAGAGTACTCTGAGGGCCCTCTCATCCGTGGCTTTCTGAAGTTCCAGCGTGTGCCTCCTCCCCCAACATATCCCATTCTTTGGAGAATTCTGAGGAAAGCAGGGTTGGAGAAATGGCACCCTGATGGGGAGAGACAGTGGCGAAATCGTGGGCCGCGGCCCTGATTAGGATCTGGGGATTCTGAGACGGCACTCTTGTCATGCCCCAGGAGCCCAAAGGGTGAGTGAGCTAGGAAAGCCCGTGATCTGCCCCTGCAGAGCGATAAGGACAAACAGGCTGGGCTGGAATTTAGACCCTGGGCCCCTGAGGGAAAAATATCTATTGAAAAGGACAGCCTTGGGAAAAAAGACAGGATAGGCATTAGCCTTAGTACCAAAACTATAAAGAGGAAGGTGCTTTTACAAGACCTGAGGGTCATTTCAAAGTTCTCACTCCCTTATCAATCATCAGTGTCGATATAATAATCGGGGAAAGGCAGGGGAAGGGAGAGAGAGAGACCCTATGTAGTCCAGTGGGAGAAAAAGAAAGTCTATTCATGATTCTCTTACCTCAGCCCCCCCCCCCCCCCAGGGCTGGGATTACAAGCATGTGCCACCACGCCTAACCTTATAACTACAATAATGAGCTAGTCCGTACTCTACCTGTGGTAAATACACCATAAATCACAGATAGTATAAATAACAATAGCCCAATTTCACAACTCTGTGTTAACTATTGCAGATTGATATCCCTAATCCTCAAATCCCAGATGCTCTAAGGTCTGAAATTTTTTGAACACTAACATGATTTCACAAGTGAAAAGTACCACGTTTGACTTTCTGTGATCGGTCACATTAAAAAGAAACAAACAAAAAACAAAAAACCAACAACCCAGTTTATACAAATACTGTACAAAATCACCTTCAGGCTGTGTGTAAGGGGAACGAATATGAATCAAGTGAACTATGTGTTTAGACTTGGGACCCATATCCAATATGACTCATTACGTATATCCAAGATGCGAGCATCTGAAAAAAAATCTAAAATCTGGCCCCAAGCATCTTGGACACTATTGTATCACGTGTGTGCATGTGTGTGAGTGTGGAGAATGTGTGTGCCATGGCGCACGTGTGGAAGTCAGAAGACACCCTCACTGTCAGGTCTGGCCTTCCGCACGAGGCATGGTGAGTTGTTTAACCACTCTACTGCAGGCTTGCTGACCTAAGAGCTTCCCGGATCTGTCCCCACCTCCCATCTCCCCACAGGACCACAGGGACTACAGACTATTCCAGACTATACGCGTACTATATATGTCCTAGTCTACCTCAGTTTACCTGGGTTTCAGGATTCAAACTCAGCTTTTACCCACTGACCAGCCTTTCCAGCTGTCATCCTGTATTTTAAACTTTTTTTCCCCCAAATGACAAAAACCATGGTCCGTTAGATTAAGAAGCACTTCCCACCTTTACTCAGGCAAACAAGTTTTAGCCCCAGACTAGGGATCAGGCAACTAGCCACCTTGTCCTGTGCTGCCCCTGATGTCCCCTAGGTCACAGCACTAGATCTAGCCACCATCTCTTTCGCTTTGGGAAAAGATTCATCAGGTACACTGAAACTCTGGCCTCTCAGTGGGAGAAAAAGAAAGTCTATTGCCAAGGTCACTGCCATTTCTCGCAAGCTATTATAGACAGACAGACAGACAGACAGATAGATAGATAGATAAAAAGAAGTATGCCTAGTCACATGGGTGGTATGAAATGGAGTCAGACAATTGCTGAATCAGGCTTCTGTAAAATAAACCTGACTTCAGCTTCAGCTCAAATAAACATGTGAAGGTGACGTAGGATTTCCCATCTGAATTCTGTTTCTGAGGTGGACAGATAACTACTTCGGAGGGAACACATGTGGTAAGCTCTCAGCCTGAGTGCTCAGTCTCACAGAGAGACAATTTCTCTTCGGGCTTTATTGGGTGGACCAAAGTCATGTTCCTGTATACCTAATGCTTGGAAAACTAGAAATATTTATGGTGGGGGTTGTGGGGGGGGGTGATCCTCACCGTGTAGGCCTGGCTGGCCTGGAAGTCACTACATAGACCAGGATGCTTGGAACTCACAGAGATCTGGTTTCTCCTCTCTAGTCCTGATCCTGAGTGCCTCCATTAAAGGCCACCATGCCCAGCCCAAGGACTTGGACTCGAATCCACACTCCAGCATCCCTTCTGAGTCTTCCCTGTAATCATGGTTGAATAACACTGCTCCTGTCAGAGGATCACCACCATCCTCTCTCACAGACAAACAAGCTGCCTAAACTTGTTGAGGTTTTTTGTCTGGGAGGACAGAGATTATAGACGGAGTTGGAGTGTTTCCAACATCTTATCACATACCTGCACTCACATGCACCAACTACACACAGACAAACATGCATACACATAATTAAAATAATAAAAACAAATCTAAAAGAGATAACCGGGGATCCAGCTCAGACGGGAGGGTGACTGCCCTGTATTCTTAGGCCCTGGGTGCAGCCTCCCGCACCGTATAAACCGGTATAGAAGCGCATCCCTGTAATCCCAGGAGGTAGAAGCAGGAAGATCGGGGTGGGGTGGGGGGTGGGGGGTTGTCAGAAGTCCAAAGTCCATTCTTGGTTACATAGTAAGTTTGAAGTCAGGCTGAGGTGGTGAGAACTCGTCTCAAAAAAAGAAACCAAAACAAAGCAAACAAACAAACCAACCAGTCAACCTGTTAAACAATAAGGAAGAACCTGAACTAAGCCTCAAGGCGGGAACTTCTCCAGAGCCTTTCCACAAACACAGCAATACTTTAGAAAAGAAAGGGAGCCTTTTTGTCTACTTAAAGGGGCACATTGGTCGGTAATTCGCATTGGAACAAAAAAAACATTGGGGGAATTATAGGTTTGAGGGGCCGGTTTTGTTTCCTGCTGGACTTCTCTGTAGCCAACAATGACCTTTAACTTCTGATTTGCCTGCCAGCCTGGGCTACACGAGATCCTGTCTCTTGTCTCAAACGAAAAGACATCATCCTTCTAGGGTCAGGTGTCCAGAGCTTTGGGGCTTCAGGACCAGTGAGGAAGGTGAAAGACGGCTTATCCTAGAGAGAAGGGACCGGGAGCTGATGACTTGAGCAGCCTACATCGAGGCCACTTGCCTGTGCTGTGGAGACCGGCATCCCAGCCTGAGGTGTTTCAGCCAGGCTGCGGCAGGCTGCTGTGAGCCACCACAGACCCTCGACCTTGTGTTTGCTAGAGGTGGAGGGACAGGCCCTGGCCTCAGTACCATGTGGCACAGGTACCTAGGAAAAAAGTCAGGCTCTTTCTCCTCATGTCCTAGCCAAAGAGTCTTGAACAGCAGAGAGTGACCCCTATCCCTGCCCTAAACAAGATTCCACTTCTAAAGTCTGACAGGAAGAGCTTGGAGCTAGATGGTGTTTGACCCTGAAAACTCAACCATAGGGAAACTTTTGTACGTGTTGCACAAGAATTATTGTGAATGAACTTGAATGCTCACATCCGCCTTGTTTGAAGTAGGACATTCAGTGTTCTCCACACTGTGATCCCATCGTTCCTTCCCCTCCTGACCACTCAGCATCTCCCAGCTCTGAGGACTAGTACTCCCATTCTCTTGGACTGTTTCTTCCGGCTAGAAGACCTCTCTGCTTTTAGTCACTTTTCATGTGTATTGTGTGCACCTGCATGCATGCGTGTATGTGCATATGTGCACACCAGTGCCCGATGAGACACAAGGAGGGCACTGCATCCCCTGAAACTGGAGTTACAAGAGTTGTGAACTGCCTCATGGGGGTGCTAGAAACTGAACTTGGGTCCTCTGCAAGAACAGCAAGCGCTTGCACTGAGCCACCCCTCCAGACCCCTTTCCACTTTCCTACCGGTGACATCCTACAAAAATCCAGCTCATAAAAATCCCTGACACATCTAGGAAGATTTCATCTGTTCCCAAGCACATTGTTAGCACTTTTATAACACTCGTGTGGTGAAGGCTATAATATGCAGTTACCTGTAATCATCTCCTGATTCATCCCTGTACCTGGCACCTGGCCCTGTGCCTGGCATGTAGATTCATTGGACCTGAAATGAATCTAATTATTGCTTCGTGTAGGGTGACACTATTTTTGTCGCCTCCTCATGGCCTGCTGTCACCACACACAAGAGCACTTTGGGTTGGGAAGTCAATTGCTTGGCTATCCAGTTGTGGCCAAGGCAAACCTCGAGGAACAGCCTCGACACTCACTTGGTCACCTGGTGTCAGTGGCTCCTGCTTACAGCACACATGGCATAGGGAGGGTGACATTTGTATTGATGATTTTAAATTTTTTGTTTGTTGGTTTTTCGAGACGGGGGTTTCTCTGTGTAGCTTTGGAGCCTCTCCTGGAACTCACTATGTAGACCAGGCTGGTCTCGAACTGAGTGCTGGGATTGAAGGCAAGTGCCACCACCGCCCGGCATGACTTTAAAATTTTTAGAAGATTTTATTTTAATCGTGTGTGTGTGTGTGTGTGTGTGTGTGTGTGTGTGTGTGTGTGTGTGTGTGTGTGTGTATACAGGTATTTGCATGTGTGAGTGCAGGTACCTGCAGAGGCCAGAAGAGGGTGCTGAATCCTCTGAAGCTGGAGTTACAGATGATTGTGAGTTGCAGAGCTCTTTTGGAGGACCCTAGACTGCTGTTGTGCCCACAGCTCATCAGCTGATGTTCCCTTTCTTGAATTCAGAAAGTGAAACCTTCACACTTTCTT